TCGACGGACATGACAAACAGAGAAAGAGAGTCGGACAGGAAACGCGGGGGCTAAGCCAGGTAGCAAATCGCAGCGACTGAACTCAGAAAACAGACTTGAGCCAAAATGGCTTGAGCCAAAATGGCCGTACAGGAGACGGTTTAGGGTTTCGACTCTCACTCTCGCACAAGGCAGGCAAGGCTCCAGCACGGTTTAGGGTTCAGGAGTTTGGTGGCTAGTTTCAGGTTCGGACGAAAGCCGCTGCACTGTCTGGGGCGTGCCGGGTTCAGCAGCTTCGTCTGACCGTCGGCGCCGAAAAACAATGTAAGACAGCCTAAACTCACCAAATGAGTGGACAATCACCAGAGGACTGCGCAGCTGCGACATTCAATGCCGACGGGCTACAAGAGCAGGCATGGACACTTTTCGGATAGAACTTCCGTAACTTTGAATTGCATAAGGTCTACGGCCGTGCTTGCCGTGTGCAAGACAAGCCAAATCCACACCCCTCGATAACAGGCCCGACTGCCTTGGAGCACAGTTCCACAGTGGAGATGCTGTGCCCGAAAGGGCCAAAATTAAAAGAGTACATCCTAATTAAGAAACAGCCCAGCTTTGCTCAGCGAGAACTGTTCAAAGGGCGAGCCTGAACGGCTCTGTGTAGAAATGCAAAGTGCCTGAGGCTGTGTAAAAATGCACCGTGTCTGCTACGTTGAGCTCACCTACGCCTTGAAAGGGACCGACGAGTGGTGGAGGCAGATGCGCACCTTTCCATCGGCATTTCTCTTGTAGCCAAACGTGTACTCCACCTTTGTCTTGCTTCCATCTGCTGCGCTAGTGAAGTAATAGTTCCCCATTGCGAGTGCAATGTTGCCTTCTACATCGATCTCGTGGTTGTCGAACACGACATCTGACCAACCCTTGCCCCCATTGATGGCGAAGCCAGCATCCTCAGAGTGACCTTTCTCAACTGATTTCCTTCCGACGAAATAGGACATTGCATCCTCGGCAGTCGGACGGAACTGTGCTTCTGCCGCTTTGGTGGGCTTGAACAGGACCTTCGAGTGACCGTAGCCGTAAAGCTCGCCCGCGGCTTTGGTAGCAACCGCCACAAAGTCGCCCTTGTCAAGGTAGGTCTTAGAGATCGTCTTAATAGCATTGGCCCACGCAGCCTGCACACTGAGCACATCTTCCTTGGAGACAGCGCCAGCGGCCGGAGGGCTGAATGGCACGGACGAGTGGTGGAGGAAGATGCGCACCTTCCCATCGGCGTTTTTCTTGTAGCCAAACGTGTACTCCACCGTGGTCTTGCTTCCATCTGCTGCACTAGTGAAGACGTAGTTCCCCATTGCAGTGGCCGTGCTGCCCTCCGCTACAATCTGGTGGTTGTCGAACACTACATCCGACCAACCCTTGCCGCCGTTGATGGCGAAGCCACCATCCTCTGGAATTCCATCATCGACGGCCTTGCTGCCCACGAAGTAGGACATGGCCTGGGATGCCATGGGCCGGAACTGGACGTCCTTTGCCTTCGTGGGCTTGAAAAGCACCTTCGTATGGCCGTACCCGTACAGCTCACCTGCTGCCTTCCCTGCAACTGCCACATAGTCCCCTCCACTCAAGTAGGTCTTCGAGATCGTCTTAATGGCGTTGGCCCAAGCTGCTTGCGCGGCTCTCACCTCCTCCTCGGAAACTGCCGCGACTTGTGCAGGTGCGGCTGGGGCGGCTGAGCTGAATGGCACGGAGGAGTGGTGGAGGAAGATGCGCACGTTTCCATCGGAATTCTTCTTATAGCCAAACGTGTACTCCACCTTAGTTTTGCTTCCATCCGCTGCGCTCGTGAAAAAATAGTTCCCCATGGCAATTGCTGAGTTGCCATCCACGTCGATGTCGTGGTTGTCGAACACAACATCTGACCAGCCTTTGCCGCCGTTGATGGCGAAGCCACCATCTTCTGGAATTCCATCATCGACGGCCTTGCTGCCCACGAAGTAGGACATGGCCTGGGATGCCATGGGCCGGAACTGGACATCCTTTGCCTTCGTGGGCTTGAAAAGCACCTTCGTGTGACCATACCCGTACAGCTCACCGGCTGCCTTCCCCGCTGCTGCCACATAGTCGCCTCCATCCAAATAGGTTTTCGAGATCGTTTTAATGGCATTGGCCCAAGCCCGCTGTGCGGCTCTCACCTCCTCCTCGGAAATTGTGGCGGCAACTTTGCCAGTTCCCGGTGGAGGGCTGAATGGTACAGACGAGTGGTGGAGGAAGATGCGCACCTTCCCATCGGCGTTTTTCTTGTAGCCAAACGTGTATTCCACCATGGTCTTGCTTCCATCTGCTGCACTAGTGAAATAATAGTTCCCCATTGCAGTGGCTGTATCTGCACTCAACTCGATCTGGTGGTTGTCGAATACAACATCTGACCAGCCTTTGCCGCCATTGATGGCGAAGCCACCATCTTCTGGAATTCCATCATCGACGGCCTTGCTGCCCACGAAGTAGGACATGGCCTGGGATGCCATGGGCCGGAACTGGACATCCTTTGCCTTCGTCGGCTTGAACAGCACCTTCGTGTGACCATACCCGTACAACTCACCGGCTGCCTTTCCCGCAACTGCCACGTAGTCGCCTCCATCCAAATAGGTCTTGGAGATCGTCTTAATGGCGTTGGCCCAAGCTGCTTGCGCTGCTCGCACCTCCTCCTGGGAAACGGCCGGGGCGCCTCCTGTTGCTGAAGCTGGGCCGGAGCTGAATGGCACGGAAAAGTGGTGGAGGAAGATGCGCACCTTCCCATCTGCGTTTTTCTTGTAGCCAAATGTGTACTCCACCGTGGTCTTGCTTCCATCTGCTGCACTAGTGAAATAATAGTTCCCCATGGCAATGGCAACTTTTCCACTCAAATCAATCTTGTGGTTGTCAAAAACAAC